ACTGATGGTATTTGGCGATGGAGACCAGCGACTGACTGAACCCGGGAACACTCTTAGGGTTGCTGGTGGTGGAGGTTGAAATGGACAAAGAACAAACTGCCCCCATAGAGCCACTCTTGAACTTGGACTCGGAGCTTCCTGGCCTGTGGAAAAATAAATTCCTCTTCTTAAAAGTCACCTACTTTGGGGTGTTTCTGTTACAGCCGAATCAGAGATTTTAGCTGGAGGAGGATGTGGCCTGAGCATTGTGGTAGGTGGCGGCTCCCCCAACCGCTGGCAACAACCATATGTTGTAAGAGAGCAAAACACCGCTTGGGTCTGCGCTGTCTTCACCGTCCTTGGTAGGTTTGGATCTACTGATGTAGCCACTGTGTCTCAGGTCCTTTTCTAGTGGTTGATCTTGATGCGCTCAAATAAGTGAGCTGTCACACCATCCTCACGTCTGAGTGTTGTCGTATTTCTTCTAAGACGGTCGCTGCTGCTTTGGGCGATGGATAGTGTGGCAGTGTTCCCCAGCCACACTGCCCTGCAGACGGATCCACTGTGTTCTCCCTTCTGCATCTGTCCGGTTTCACGTGCATCTGAGATGACTGAAACGACCGTGCCTTGGGTCAGAGGTTCCGTGGTCATCAAAGTCCTAGCTTTCTTTTTGACACTGAGGTCTCGTGGACTTTTCCACTGCGGTACGTCATTTTATTCTCTGGCTGCCTGCCCATGGGCGGCACATAGATACTTTCCCTGAAGTGCAGAATGCTCAAGGTAAATGTCCTTTACCAATTAAAATTCATTTTCTCCAGGTTTAGGTTCAAAAGTAATCTCGGCGATAGTTTGGTCCCTTCAGCCTCCATGAAACCAGACATCTGGATTCATTGAGGATTAATTCTGTTGCTCACAAAATCAAAATGGGAGTAGTCATTGTAATACTAGAGGAGAAACACCGCCACTATCATGATCCCAATTCTGCCTTGCAAATCTGGCTAGACCAGAGGATGTACATTGGTACAGATAGCAACTTGAAACACAGGGAATCCAGGACAGATGACTTCTTCGGGACCAG